TCATTGATCAATATATTTTTACCAAGAATAACATAAATAAAACAATATTAATTTATATGCACATTAGTGACTGTAAACTCAAAATTAATAATATAAAATGCGTATAACAATTCATGACTTTTATTAATAGATAAAATTTATAATAGTCTTAGAACTTATCTTTAATATTGCATAAATAAATTGATAGAATACATTGTAAATTTAAAATTTTTTTAGTTGAATTTTTATTGTTAATATTATTTAATAAAACACATTGTTGAGCAAAAAAATGCCTTGTAATAAATAAATATAAAAATTAAAATAGTCTTTTATAAATTATTCCCAAAATATCTGACCTTAATTTATTTGACACTTAAGAAAAAAAAAGAGAGCTCGAATCTGATGAATACAATTTTTAAATCTCACTAAATTTGCTAGTTTTTATGCTTATTAAATTACTCATAAATACAATGAAATATTTAAAAAACATTTTTATTTAATTGTCAATTAGAAAACGTTTAGAGAATATAAAAAATAAAAAAATTACAAAACTTTGAAAAATAATATAGAATTTTATCATAATAAGGGATAAAAATTATAGAAATACAATAACGGAAGTAAGAATTAAATTTCTTTTTTTTAAATAACATATTTGCTTTTATTTATTCGCAACTGAGATTTATGAATTTGTTTTTATTACATTTTGTTAAATTTTTATGTTTGACTCACTAGTCAAAAAACGTAAAATTTTACAAATTTTTTTTCTCTTAATTATGCAAATACCAGAATTTACAAAACTTATTTTCAAAGAAGAACAATTAGGTTGAATTTCTTCTAGAACGAGACATTTTGCGAGTTTTAATGTTCAACAAATGCAATAAACTAATTACCAAAGTAATGACAAGTTCTTTTAAATACAGCTGTTATTTGCGCTGCAATTTTAATAAGTGTTTTAACGATGGCTATTGCTTGAAGAAAGTATTTTAAAAGGACACAACTAAGTTTAGAGACCATATTAATTCTACTATGCTAGTGAGTAAAGGATTCATCAAATAATGCTTGTGTGGTTGAGCTTGATATCGATATGAGCATAGTCTCTAGATGGTATTATCGTTTTAATAATGCTGTGCTTGACTGAATTTTTAGTAATATTTAGTATTAGTCAATAGGAAAGAAGTTCTATACTGTCGAAATCGACAAAACAGGTTTTTAAACAGCAAAGATTTTCAAGGTTGTTTTTTACAATATCAAATGTGGACAGTCAGTTCTATATTTAGAAGAAATACAAATACTTTTTTTGAAATAGTGGACAGTAGACAAATATGTACTTTGGTAGAACTTATTAGTCGAAAAGTAGCACCAGAATTGGTCATTATTACTAATTGCTTGCGAGGTTATCCTGCTATACCTAATATTTGTGTTGGTCTTGGATTTACTCATGAGACGGTGAATCATTCAGTAAATTTTGTAGATAACGTTTCCGGTGAAAATATCCAAATTGTTGTTAGAATTTGTTTGTAATAAAGAGTGAATTAAGAAAGAAAAAAACAGCACATAATATCTTGGTAAATCTAGTGCGTAAAATTTACATATACCGCTTTAAATTACTACATAGAAAATCTACTTAAAAAGATTCGCGAATTTCATAAAATTATATATTGTTACTTGATTAATTAGCAAAAATTTGCACGAAAGTAATTTTGACCATCTCGTTAAAGATGAGGAAATAATATAAATATTTTTTAACATTATTTTTGTATTTTTATAAGTTTGTAAAACTTTAAGGATTTTGACAAAGTGAGGGGGGAAAACGTGCAAATTTACCTACATGTTCACATGTATTGTTAAGTTTTATGTTCAATGTATAATCAAATAGCTAGGTAATTTGATAAAAATAAACTTTAAATGAAATCAAAAAACAGAATTTTTTTATTAATAACTTGCATGATTTCTCATGCTCTAATTACTGCTTCATATTTTTTAAATCCTGATACTAACTTTTAAACAATTCTTTGGGAATCTTGTTCCATACTTCTATTACGCAACTTAAATTCTTAAATATTTTTACACCACCTAGCACTAAAATTTTTCTTTAGAACATATCATAGATTCTCAATTGATTTAAATCGGAATTTGTTATGACGACTCTATTAATTTTACATTTCTCAATCTTTAAAACTCCTTTGTAAGATTTGATGTGTGCTTTGTATTGTTAATATTGAAAAAAAAATCTTTTAAGTAAAACTTACAGCACTTTGGAATAAATTATCATTGAGAATTATAGTATATTTTATACTAGCCATTTTACTTGTAAAAATGAGAATATTTTAAATAACTATTTAAAAAAACAACCCCAAATCATGATCAAATCATCATCATTCTTAATAGTAAGTTTTTAATTTTCCATATCATACCACAAATCATTTTTTCGGCAGCAATAAACTATTCCATCTGATTCAAATAGTGCTATTTTAGATTCATCACACCATATAATATTTTAGATGTAATTTTCTTCTTTGCAATAACATTCCGTTGCTAGTATTAGTATATCTTTGTAGTATTTTGCTACATGTCTAAAATTTATTAATAATTTATTATAAAAATATTTTTTTTAAACCCCAATAGAATAAACAAAAAAGAAGAATTTGAAAATTCCTTGTAGCAACTTTAAAAAAATTATCTCGCAAAAAGAATTCTCAATGTAAAGTACATCAGAAAATTATTCTAAGTTCGGTATACTATCTTGAGGATATGACAATCCTAAATGCTATTTTTTATAAAAGTGGTTTACATGCTCTTCTTCTGCATGTATAATCTAAATCAACTAGTTTTTAAGAACAGTTCTGGCAGCTACTTTTTTTCTGATTAAAAAAACTTATTGCCAGTTTAGTTTAATCTATTAATGATCCTTTTAATTTCATTGTCAAGATACAATAAATTATTGTCATTAAACAAAAATTTTCTGCCCAAACCCTTCAGTTTAAAAATACTTTTTTTCTTTTACAATCTTTTATTGTCTAGAGACTTAAGAAAGATAAAAATTAAATATTTCGGAATTTTCTTTGATTTTTTTAACTTTATGTTTAGCAATAATTCTAATCCTAAGCAAAAATTTTTCCTCTTTTAACATAAAAGCTATAAAATCTTTTAATTTAATTGTTTTGTAG